CCATCCATAACCTCATAGTTGTTCTATTCGCTCTCCGTCTGGAATAAATTGTACTGCCGGGAAGCCTCGGCACTCAATACTGGCTATACTGACCAAGATACTACTGGTGTTGCCCGTGACGGTGATAAGAAGCTTCAGAAGGCGGCAACCTATTTGAGGCGGATGGTGATGCCTTGAAAAGTTCGAAATGTAACTCTCGCAAACCGGGATCTCCTATAGGAACTTGGCATAGTTTCACCTTGTGGGAGTCATCTACTGACGACGATCAGGTCACTATTTTACTGTAGCTGAATCAAAAGTGAAATTACCTTAGTTACTGCATTTTCGTCGGTTCGGCTCACCCATGTTTATTGTGACCCGGATTTTGTGGGGAGGACTGACTGACTAAATTAGGTTTTCGGCATATTATTGCCCTACTCTTTAAAGTCTTTTCTACTGAATATTCTCTATTGCTCCGCGCTTCATTATCCTGATCGGTTCGGCTCACCCGTGTTTATTGTGACCCGGATTTTGTGGGGAGGAAAGACTGACTAAATTAGGTTTTCGGCATATTATTGCCCTACTCTTTAAAGTCTTTTCTACTGAATATTCTCTATTGCTCCGCGCTTGGTCCATTATCCTGGAATTTCCGCTCTTGTTGCGGAAAGCATGAGTTTACTCATTCCCCAAACTTTCAAGGGATTGTTTGAGGGCAGGCTATACGATAGTCTGAAGAAACCTCACCGGAACTTGTCACTTTCAACGATAAACGGATTAATCAACTAGTAAACGCGAGTGAAAGCACGTCTGATTGGTGTGTGTGTGTGAACATCGTCGACAGCGTGAAGAAACTCACCGGTCAGTAACATGACCGAACTAATTAACCGGGCTCTGTCGCTATCACGTTAAAGATCCTCTCTAATGGCGTCGGTTTCTTTCATGCTTCTATCAGTGAACAACGAAATAGCACACCGCTCGCATGCCAAATGCCGATCTGTTTTTCTAAACCTTGTTGATTCTGTAAGATTATGCGGAGCACCATCCATCCATACTTTCTTCAGTCCTTCATTGGGTAATATTCAGGTGTGTTGCTCGTCGGGGGACTTGTCCATCACGGAAACATCCTCGATCGTGTAAAGGCAAGGATGAGCTCCTTGACATACTTGTATCTGGCACGCGTGCGTCAGTCGGAAATGGTCATTAAGCAAAATAATTGATTTTCATCCTGCAATAATCCTTGCGGTTCCCGCGTGTGGAAATCAACTTGAATCACTCACAGAAATTTTCTACGTTTGATTTACTGCGATTCCTGTCGGGGACGTGTATTCACCATACTATATAGGCTCAATTATTCAATTATCAATTGCGGTTCTCGGCGTACCCAAAGATTCGGTCGAACGTGGCGTATCCGAAGTGAACTATTTTACGAGAAACCAATTATTACTGTATGTAAAGCCAGTAGCTATTCAATATGGTTACCCGAAGTGAGCGGATTTTCTCGGCTGTTTTCTCAGCCGCTAGAAGCATTACCCATATAGTTGTCCGTCACTCTTCGTCCACTTGTTCACTCACCCTGACGAGAAGGGCCGATCCATAAATGCTCGATCCTGTTGGTTGATATTCTGATCAATCAAGGCATGTTTGGTCTTTGTTCCGTAGCTCGCAGTTGACACATTCGTTTAATCGATGTGATGTGCGGTTATGAAGAGTGGCTGGCCTACGGATGCTTTCTTATTGAGGATGCTACCTCGACGGCCAAGGTAGCTGCTGTTTCATTTCGGCGATATGGCTTCCCCTTCGGAGGTGTGTTACGGCTGTCCAGTGTTCCCTGTGACATGGTTTCATTATGGGGCCATAGTCTGTTGTTTGAAGTTGATCCACTTGACGTAGTATTTGACGATTCGTCAATCCTGAACAGCATTCCTCAAATCCTCGAATCGGCATCTGGCCTGTGTGACTGCTATGGTGCCCGTTCAGTCTGTCCCTCCCTCTTGACTTCCCAAACAGCAGTTGAACGATCCACCTGAACAGAGAACTAGATTGAAGGCTAACTTGAGACACCTATGGCGTCAGAATAGTTTATCCGTGAATCTGAAGGGACGTGTGTATCAAGCTACAGTACGGGCTGTTCTATGGCTGTGAGACTTGGCCTTTTCGAGCAGTGGACCTGAGACGTCTTCAGGTGTTCGACAATCGTTGTCTCAGAACCATAGCTCGTGTGGGTTGGTGTCGGCGAATCCGTAA